TACACACACACATATATATATATATATATATATATATATATATATATATACTTGAAGGTTGAATAACAATAATTTCAGGCAGATAAACAAATTAACTTTCACTTTCTTCCAGCCATCCTATCCTATTTTTTAAATCTTTTTTTTCTCTTCGGTCATATCTGCTGATGCGTGCGTGCGTGCGTGTGTGCGTGTGTATATGGGCTACTCTCATACTATCACAAAATTTATGATAAAGAAGTTTAAAAGTAACAAAACAACAACAACAAAAACAACAGCAACAACAATAACAACAACAAAGCAGAATTCTTTATAGGGTCATTCTTTCAGCATACACTAGTTTTACATCTTTGTATTTGTGTTCGTAATTTTTGTATTTTCTTATCATTTTTTTCCGACTTTATTTCTTTTTTGCGTGCTAGCGGCGAATGTTTCATCTCATTCTGTGTAGGTGGGTGGTTAATAAATAAATTAAATAATTCTCTCTCTCCCTCTCTTTCTCTCTCTCTCTCTCTCTCTTTCTCTCTCTCTCTCTCTCTTTTTATATAAATATTTATAAGTATTTATATGCGTGTTGAATCGCCTTTGGGCAGCCGATTGGTGGGCGGGGTTATTTGCTTACGTCATTCTTACGGAAAAGCCGTTTTAATCAAAGTCTATTTTTATCATACTGACACGTACGTACATGCAAAGCAACACATATACGCACACACATGTACACATTCATACATGCACTTACATACACACAAACAAATAAACAAACTTGCATACGTAAACAAATAAGAGCAATAATTCTTGGACAAAAAATCTCTGCTCTAAGATGACTTAACTGGTCATGTGATAGAGTTTCCAGCACCACGTGATTTCGTGGTTTGAATGAATGAATGAATGAGTGAATGAATGAATGAAAGGATGAATGAATGAAAGAATGGATGAATGGATGAATAAATGATGATAATAATAATAAATAAACAGTTGTGGATTCCTTGTTGAATGGTGACCTTGTGAAAGTTAGGCCAAGCCGAACTCGAAACAACAACAACAACAACAACAATATTAACAACAACAACAACAACAATAGAAATAACAACAAAGTTAATAATAATAGTAGCAGCAGAAATAAGAAGAAAAACTGCAGACCCAATAACAACGATGATGATAATGATTACAACAGTAGTAGTAGTAATAATAATAATAATAAAATGAAACCAACGAAAAATTATTTTTATAACACAGCAATTAGCGCTGAAATTAAAGTAAGTTAACTTAATAACAGTACGGATGACTGAATAAATGAACGAACGAATGAATGAATGAATGAATGAATGAGTGATGAATGAATGAATGAATGAATGGTGAATGAATAAATGAGTGTGTGAATGACTAAACGAATTAATTTTTCTTTGTTTACATTTATTTAACCAAAGACTCTTTATAATTTCAGCTTCTATCATTGATACCCGGACCATCGCCCATATCTGAATCATCACTATCACCACCGCCTCCGGTATCATCATCATCATCGTCGTCATCATCATCAACACCATCATCATCATCAGCGTTCGCAGAAACATCATCACCAATAGCAGGATCGATTTTTAAGAATGATACATCACCGTATAAGGCGAAATTTAAACAAAAATCACCAACACCCCCACCGATATCTTCATCAGCATCAACAGCCACCGCAACAACAACAGCAGCAGCAGCAGTAGTTGCAGCGACTACATTATCATCAACGACAGCAACAACATCGTTGCCATCATCATCATCATCATCAACAACAACAACATCATTATCATCCCCGCCATCATCTTTTTCTACTTTGTCCTTATCATCATTGTCACCCTTGTCATCGTCATCATCACCGCCACCATCACTATCAAAACCATCATCACCGTCGTCGTCGTCGCCGTCGTCGCCACAGCCGCCACTGCTGTCGCTATCATCACCGTTATCATTATCATCACCTCAGTCTCCATCATCATCATCATCACCAACATCTTCGTCGACGTCATCATCATTATCATCGTTTGTAGCATCATCATCATCATCATCATCATCATCATCATCATCATCATCATCATCATCAACAAC